CCACCAGGTACTGTACCGGCTCGTGAACGCTTGCCGCCGCCAGTTCCACCAACAGTAGTAGTTATAGTAGTGGCTCCCTGCTCCTTACATGGTATAGAGTGTGGAACAGCCTCACTGCGCTCTGATGGGGTAACAGGACGACGAAGAACGCAACTGTTTCTGTCCCAGTGACTGAGAAATTCACACAGTATTGGCAATTCGCATTCAAATGTCTTAAATCTGGTGCATAAAAAAGTTTAGAGGAGAAGGCAATAGGAATAATTAAGATTAGATAAAAGCAAATTATTCATTTTTGGCTAATTCACTATAAATTTTGATGATAAACTTATTGCCCCTATTATGAAAGAACTAGCAAGAATATAAACTCACTCTTAGGCTTTTACTGGGAAAATGCATATGAATCGAATTTAATTAACAATAAATAAATCATTTTAGATACTACTGATAAAAAGTGCTATGTAATGTTAATAGTTTTTTTTTCCAGCCTCGTAGAACGACAGTTTAGCTTTGATCTAGATTTTACTAAGTTTCATCATTATTTGTAGATATTTTAAGAAATAGTAGTAAAACTTATAAATAGAGTTAATACTAAGATTGATTAGCGCTAAATGGTGTCACAAAGCTTAATTATCGCAAGAGATAGACGAGGATTTAGTTTTGCCAGTTGATTTTGCTATAATATAGCCAGAGTATTTTATCATCCGATAATGTTGCTTCCACTAGCACTAATAACTGAAGTTTAACTTTTGAATTAGAAATAATTTTCGATGATTCATTCACAATTATATTAGTCTGCCTAGCGATGAGGTTTGATTTTCTTATCCTTGCATCCTAGTACGAAAATGTGACTATACTTCCTTAAGTCAATCTAAGCGATCTAGAGTAAGTTCTTACTTAAGAATAACATTTAATATTTATAGCATTTTCACTTCTGAAATTATTCCATGCCGTTATATATTCATTAAAAACTAAATCACAAAGACTAGCTTTACTCGGTAAATATAACCCTTATAATACTAGAGTAAATTATAAAGCCTAAAATAAAAAGTGTATTTATTAATAACAGTAAAGTAAAATATGTTTAGGCTTCTTCCTTTTCACCAGTATGTAAAGGTATTTTAGAAAAGCAACCCTCATTTGCATAATAATAATCACTTTTTATAGCTAAAAAGGTTGACTTCACACGGGTTGGTTATCAGATTCTTACGTCAAGGCAACATAGGCTGCGTAAATTTTCCATATGTCTCCAAGTAAATAAGCTAAATTCTTTAGATACGACAAGATTCCTTGATAACTCGCTATAAAGCAAATTATCTCTTTAATTATTTGGTATAATAGCTCTCCTATTGTCTCAAGCACTGATATAACAACAATAAGGTTGTTCACATTGATTCTCTTTCTTATTTTATTATAAACTAAGCCTTAGTACAAGTGGTGCAACCTTTAGATGATATCTTATTTAGAAAATCAATTACGTGTCCCCTATTGATCCAATTTCTTACTACAAATGCAAATATAAAAGACTATGAAATTATACTTTATCATATGTGAATGTTTTTCTGGGCATGAGTCATACTGATTAATATAATAAATTTATTCGTAAGCCTTTCACTAATTTTGCCATAAAGCTAAGCAATAATGTAACAACTTAAATCAAGGTGAGCAGGAAAAAATAAATAATGTGTCATTATTCCATGAATACTCTGATTTCCATTTGTAAAGCTGCTATTTGAAAGGAAATAACAACTCAATAAAGAATTTTGGGATTATATTTAGGAGTTTATTAGGTATATAAGCTGTGGATGCTTGAAGTATGCTCCGCTAAAAGATAATAGGATCAAAACTATCCAAATTCGCACTCTTACTTTTGATACAAGTATCTTTCGGCTTCCTTTGCAGGATCTACAATTGAATCGGACGTTGAGAACTCATCTCGATCAATCTCTTCAATTTTTTTTTTCTCACTTTTTGACCGCTTGATTCTATATAAGAATGTAAAAATAAGCGACAGATAAAAAACAAAGCTTACTTGCATACTAGAAAAGAATTTTGAATACAATGGGGAGATGCATTATAGAGCATCATTATTAAAAGAGACTTCTTCAAATCTGATGTTTCGATAAATTATTATATTATATGTTTTATTCCATAGTCGCTGATCGCTTGTTGAATATTCTATATAAAAGTTCTTCATGTAACGATAACTAAAACTTTATAAGATATTGGGTAAAGATGAGTCCTTACAAATGGCTAGTCATCTGGGGGGAATATTGTAGATAAAAACAACACCGTTTTTAAAAGTTCCCTCAAACCTAAACATATTTTAATTAATATAGCATAGGCATTGAATTTTCTTGAATAAAATCGAAGCCCTCTTGCAAGCAAATAAAACGGTGGAACAAATAATGAAGTTTAATGAATCGTAGTCATTATAAACTATGAAAGAAAGCAATGCTAAACAAAACGCAGTTTATATATATATATATATATATATAAATTGGGTCCAAGACAAATATTTTGATAAAAATTGCTGTCCAGTTCTGCTGCATATCGATTGATACTCATTAGCACAAATAACTAGCGAATATTAAGCTGTCTCCTTCCGCATATTCAATCGATTATAAAAACGATAAATAGATACTAATTTTGGACTATAACACACTCTCATGTATTTACTTGTGGCCATTCCATTGAAATTGTTCGCGAGTGATGCAAATTATAAAGACATAAAAAACGATTTTGTAACAATTCTTCCAATCATGGATAGTTTCATTCACTTTTCTAATACGATATGGAGTTTTACTCTCTGTAGTTTTTCCTTATGTCTAGAGTATTTACATCCTGTTTTATTTAAGGTGATAAAGGATTGGCTTCATGTGTCTATTGAATAAAACGAGACCTTACTTCCCAAAAGGTATTCTCAAGCAGACAAAATGGATTGCAGTTTTGACCTCACCTTGGTCTCATTACAACTCTTAGCGATAATCGAGCCCGGATAGTACAGCGTATATTTTCGGAATTTAGAATAAGCTATTTCTAAACTGACAAACGTGTTATTCATCACTTAGTTTCACCTCTATCCGACAATAAGCATCCTTTGTTCAGACGTGTTCTAATACCCGTTTTATGGTCCAGCACCCCGACTTCAAATTACTATTTTTGCCTATTTGGTTTATCAGCAATAGATAAATTCCTAGTATTTTCTTGTCTTGTAAACGTCTACGATAAATATTTTTCCGTATTTCTTTAAGAAGCATTTTTGGCAAGGATTTAGGCCGAGCAACTAAGCCCTTAGATCGGCTAATCATTTAGCAATCAAATTTAAACTAAAACATGAGAAATTAAAATGTTTAGTGTTTAAATTATTTTAGTATCTAACTAAGTAAATATCGCTTAAATATTTCGCACAGTTACTTTGTTAAATGATTTTTTTAGTCTGACCCACTAGAGACCTCTTCCCAGAAGATAATTGGTTATCATCAGAGCCGGGACTCATTCTTTCAAAAGTCTCAAGTTAACATTAAGTCGTCTGTCGTCCTCTAAGGAGATCGACCTATGAAAATTAGATACTCCGAAATCTCTATGAGGAGGATTGTTAAAAAATGCATGATATAGTTGGGCAACCTCTACATAAAGACAATGAAAAAGATAGGTATATTTTAAAAGACAGCAGCCAAAGTTTTTCCAGATTTAGGGGCAATATTTGATCTGTTATTGAGTTTTTAATTCAATCCTATCACTCTTAAAGATAGATTCTTTGAATTTGAAACTTTAATCGAATTGGCCAACCAAGTCAAAAAGAATTTACAATAATTTGCTAAAGGGGACCATTTTAATATTCCTTAGGATTTTAAGCAAAGAAAATAATAGATGTATTGATACTTTAAAAAGTGTAAAGCCAAATTACGCTGCTTGTTTCTCCTCTAAGCTAACTTCCAGAAGGCCGGAGCGTTCAGTACTAGTGACATGTGAATCAGGCCGGTTCGATGTAGCCTCGCGCGTAAAACTGGAAGATTGTTTAGCAGAACTTTGACCTACAGTTGGATGAACATTAGCTGGAGTCTGGCCGGCCAGACCATGGTTATGTACAGTATTAACAGAAGCTCCAGCCAAGCTAGGAGTAGCGACTGGTTTCAGTTGGCCACTGACAGAAGCAGGCGGAGCAGGTCCTCCCATTGCAGGAGTTGCTGAGGCCCCAATTTTGGCCCCGGCAAGTTTTGCTCCAGGTTTTCGTTTTGCGTTGCTAAAATAAACGAGAAAGAAGTAGTAGTGGCCGAACTCATAAGTGTATAGTAGATATAATTATAGAAAACTAGTAATTAGAATGCATAAGCACCAACATATTAATGTCGTTTAGGCATAATGATCAAAAATAGCTATAATACCAGACCTCTTTTCATTATATTTCATTTCACTAATTGATTCATTCTTTTTTACTCATGAATTGAAGACTTCCTTCTTGGTCGCATATAGAGTTAGCATCCACTTTGGTAAGAATACTAACTCTACACAGTTTTGCCTCACTTTGACAACTTTAGACGTCTTTCTTTCATCGAGAACCAGACAGTTTTCTCACAGGTAGACGTAAGGAGAGTCTTATTACAAATATAAACAATCGGTATAAAATTATATGAGATGTAATTATCCTATTTCGTTTAAGGTGATGAAGGTTTGGTAACTACGAAAACCTACTTATGAGCTAAAAATAGGCATCAAATTATGCCTGAATCGCCATAAAATAATATTCATCCTGCTTATCGGGAGCTGGCATGACCAGTATTATTGTTCAATGATAGCTAAACTACTAATTTCGAGTTTGCAAAATATGCTCAACTAAAATTCAGAAGACGATTGTTGCTAATGGAATAATGATCTTTGTGATTACCCTAAAAAGGTCCGAAGCTAGCTTAAAATATTTGATGCTGCCTTAAAAGGCCATCATTCATACAAGTGATGAGTAGGTTTGACATAATCAGTCTATCTTGAATAAGAGGCCAGGTAGCTTAATGTCGCTATGGTGATAAACTGACAACATGATTTGAATTAAATTAATTTATTTTTTGTTTATAAGTTGGTTTTCGAGGCTCTCAGTAGATTTTTATATGAGAAGTATTTACCCTATTTCGTT